GATAAAAGAGAATCCAATCGAAGAGACAAAAAAGGTAATAGAAATGATTTTAAAAGAAAGAACAGAAATAAAGAATAGAAATAACATTAAGAAACTGTAATAAAAACATGAAAACCTTTAGAATGAAAGAAAAATAACAAAAAAAGGAGAAACTGACGCGAGAAATACAGAGAATAGGAAATCGAGGGAAAGACAGAGCTGGTAAACATCCGTCATTATCGAGAAAGGAAATTGCCAAGAGAAAGGCATAAAATAATAATAGAAAAAAGAAAAAGAGAGACGCAAAATGGTTGGAAGCAATTCCTGGAGAAACCATGAGTAGACATTTTTTCAAGTTGACACTGAACAATTCGAGGCCACTTGGTGCAAGTCAGACTTGGGTTGGGAGGTGAATTTTTTACAAGACGTCCTCGTATAATTGTCAATTTACTATCGTATTTTCTGTACAAATTGCTTCAAGGTCAGCTCTTTTGATACCACTACTATACATACTAAGATAAACTAGGTGTTTTGTGAGAATTTCAGTATATATATATATATATATATATATATATATATATATATATATATGTCTGTGTGTATGTTTGTGGGTCCTCGCTTATGCTTAGATACATGATTTATTTTATCTACCCTCTCCCCGACAGCAGGTTCGAAACAAGGTTGCAATTAATGTGGAACATCGTAAGCATACATGCGGGTAGTTCCAGAAATATGTCTGCTCGCTTAGACACTTACCCTTCAGTATGCCTCAGGCATCAGAGATTGATCTTGACCCGGACTCTAACCCTCTAAGTGCAACGGGGTGAGTCTGTATGGGATAGGGACGGCCTCTTGGAATCAGGCGTATAGTTCTGTAAATGTGTACAAACATGTTCGTTAGACACCTCTCCTTTATTAAGTAAGGACAGAAAATTCATTTTCCTAGTTTTCTTTTAATAATTTACAGAATTATTCTTTGCACAATACAAGGCCCAAGAGCCACTCAAGGTAGAGGGTTACTGATTGAGGTTGTTGTATGAACGTAGCGTAGGAAAGATAACCGTTATCCTTAAACTTGAAGATTGTAGCAAAAGATGGAAGCATTCTCTCAGGAGTCTGTTCCACGAAGTAGTATCTCTTGGAAAGAAGCTGTCCGAATGGAACTTCCTACTTAATAATGGAACACGAAGATGATGAGGGTGATTTGCCCCAGTTTACGTGGCTTAGTGGGTCATAGCTGTGAAGCTTTAAACTGATGGAACTAATGAATTTAAGTCGTCATACCATTTGCCATGGAAGCAGCATTAGGTTAGCAGTAGGATTACGACATTGCATCTGTGCGAAAAGGGTTGTAAGGTGGAAAATAATTACCTACAAGGCCGAGTAGAGACTTCTGAATTCTGTCAAGTCTGAAAAGTGAGGATTAGGCATCGACAACTATGGTAGTGCAGCATTTTTGGTCTATTCCACAAGGTGGAAGCTCTTAGGAAGATGGTTTATATGTAATACATTTAACAGCTTTACTTTACAACAAAATGTCCATAGTGATGTCCCCAAACGGACATGTTAACGTTATACGTAGTCGAATGAAGGAAAATCACATAACCTTGTCACATTATTTAAGTTCACGTCAGCATAACTTAACTTTGATCCTGAAAATATATATAAATTGACCCATTATTTTCCAGGACTCTCAGTGCTATTGTCGTGCGGTTCGCGTGTGCGACAGTGCATTCCTCATAGACTGGAGTTAAAAGAATCGTTTTTTTTTTTTTGTTTTTTTTTTTACACTGTTACTAGAATGGTACTATAGATTACACGTTTGATGGGAATCCACGAGGAAACACTTTTTTTATGATGATCGGCTTTCTTACTTTTAAACATAAGCTTAAAGTGAAAATGCCATAGAAAAGGATGAAATCCTATTGAGCTTGATGAAAGGTGGGTAAAAGTAAAGAGTTTGGACTAAATGAATTGAAGCAGTTTACGTTTTATTGTTCTAGAACCTATTTGCTACAGTTGGGGTGGAGTTTCTTACGGAACACACTACAAATACTTACTGAAATACTTACTATAATGAGTGCAGCCTCCGATCCGAAATCTTTGTGGCCTTCAAACACTCCCACCACCATTTTGTTTTTTTTTCCTCACATCCGCTTTCTTAAGCGAGTTTGTCTGCTCTGAAAACCATTTCATTACATTTCTTTCCAAATTTGCTTCGCCCAATCAATCGCATTTGTTACAGGAAATCCTTGTTTGTTCCTGGTAAATGTTGCTTAATTATATTTAGTTGCATATCAACCTCTATGGGTTATTTAATTCCGAAATCTAAATATTTTGTACATATTTTTATACTTTCAGAGTAAAGATATGTTTTTAGATATATATAGTTTATATATATATATATTATAAAATGCATTGTTGATTTTTTATGTATGGCTGGTAATTTCGCTACACAAATCTATTATTGTTGGTAATTTTTATAAACAATCTATTGATAATTTTACTAAAATATATTTTTATACATTTTTAGTGTTGTATTCTGGGCACGTGGCCGATTGGTTAGAACGTTCGCTTTCTGACCATGAGACCCGAGTTCGAATCTCACTATGTTCGATTTGTCAGGAAGGAAACTTCCTGATGTCATCTGATTGGAGGGGTCGATCCCAGTGTGCAGCACAATACTACGGTTTTGTGAGTAAAATTGGGTAATCGAAATTGCTAGCAGGAAGTCACAAGTCATCGTGGCCGAGGGCTTAAGCGTGCTGGCCATGTTCAAATTGTTGATCACGCTAGATAACACGCTCTTTCCCAGAAACTGTAACTATGGTCTGCTCAGCATAGCTGCAGTATAAAGCAGAGGTGGGCTCCGTGGGTGTTGAATAAACGCAAATGCGCCTGAGCGGGCGTCTGCAATAGGGATTGTGTTATGGAGTGGTTTCACAGTGGAGGCTTGTATTTGTACTAAGTCGGTCCTAAAATAGTTTCGATGTACAAAACGTTAAGAACTTGATATAATAGGTAATGACGCAGAGAAATCTAGTTGTGGTCGCTGATACTTTAGTATCCAACTAACGGTCGTCCGGCATCGACTGATTGACCGACCCACTGAGCGACTCCTTACTCTTACTACTCCTACTCATTATAGGTGGGAGAGTCCATTAACTATAGAATAGGTGTGTTCCACTACAACAGGTTGGCTAGCCGCCCTAGTAGACGGGTATCCTCGAATACGAGAGGTCAGCTATACATATATACAGTGTTTATTGATTGTCATTTTCCTATAAAAATTAATAGCTGGTCATTTCACTATATAAATATATTGTTGGTCATTTCACTATATAAATATATTGTTGGTCATTTTACTATATAAATATATTGTTGGTCATTTCACTATATAAATATATTGTTGGTCATTTTACTATAAAATGTTATTGTTGTTACTATAAAAATGTAATGTTTACCCATAGCTGGGACCCTAACAGGTGCTACGATACTGGGTCGGGGTGGACCTTGGAACATGAGATAAAGCAACGTCGAGCCTGGTCACTAACTAGATGGGTGACCGTTTGGAAATACCTGGTGCTGTAAGCTTGAATGTGCGAAGGTGTAATGAATAATGGCTCGGAATTGTTAATCGGAGATTAAGCTAAGCAACGTTGAGCCTGGTTAGTATCTAGATGGGTGACCGCTTGGAAATACCAGATGCTGTAAGCCTGAAGGTGTAATGGATAATGGCTCGGAATTGTTAATCGGAGCGCCGGTCTCTTTAAATAGGCTTGTCAGATCAAAGCATATGGATGCCATCCTTGGCGCCAAACTTGATCAAATATATCTAAACTGTCAGCTGAGTATGAATCCACCACTTCTTTCCGCCCAGCTATTGGCCATGCGTAAATTTTTTTTTCTGGAGCCAAATTCCAACTTTTTGAAGTGTTTGGCCTTTTGATTTGTTTATAGTTCTTGCAAACTCAAGGCGAACTGGAAACTAAATTCTTAAAGAAAAGATATGTAAAAACAATATTGCATTTTTATTAAATAAGTATTTGTTATTTTAATCATTAAATCGTTTTGACGTAATGAATATGCATAGACCTGGGTTCCCCCTCACAGTAATATGATTGGCTGGTGTCAGCCATAAATACAGACTGATGTGGAGGTACATGGACGGTGCCTATTGTCTTCGCCTATTGCCTACGCCTATTGCCTACGCCTATTGCCTACCACTATGACGAGGACCAGTCCATTACGGTTACCTGCTAGATTGTCCTACTCGGTTACAGTAGTACAAAACCACTTTGCTATTTCGAACAAATATATCCCTTTTCGGGACATATCATATTTCTAAATTATTTGGAATATTTTGTATGTTAAACAATAAAAATTTTAATTTTTTCCCAAAAATGAATGAAAATTTATTGTACTAAGCTACTCACCCTAGTAAAACCAACTATACTTTGTACTCCCTTACCTGTTTGCTTTCTCCCCAAAATTTGGTTTCGATCGGTCAATATATAACTATTTTTAGAGGCTGTAACAGATGGACAGACTAACGGAAGTCACAGAATTTTATATATAGATTGTTGTTGCTAAAAATATTTGAAAGATTGAGATACTTATTGATAAGCGCAAAAAATTGCCAAATTCGAACTTTTTAATGCGTTTGAACTTTTGATTTGTTTATAGTTTTCGCAAACGCAAGGCGAGGTGGTAAAAAAATGATTACATTTGTCTTAAATAAGTATTTGTTATTTTAATCATTAAATTGTTTTTAAAATAGTGGGAGTTTTAAAACAGTATAAATAAAACTTTATTTTTAAAAAATAAATCTACTGCACTAAGCTACGCACACTAGTAAAGCCAACTGTCCTTTGTACTCACTTACCTGTTCGCACTTCTTCCCAAAATTTGGTTTCGATCGGTCAATACATGGCTATTTTAGAGGGTGTCACAGACGGACGGATTAACGGAAGTCACAGAATTTTATATATAGATTGCCCACACGGATACATGGTGATGTAATGTCTTTCAAGCGTCCACGTAATCTAAAGGAACCTCACAATTAGAACTGTGGAAAAGAGGCAACGTAGTAAAACTATATCTCCTTTCCGGATATCAGACATTCTTCTACAGTTACTGTTAATAATAATTTGAGTGTTTGGTGTGTGACTAGCCTACCAAATCTATAGATATTTGACCTAACGCTGAGAGGTACCAATCCCACTGGTTCAGTGAAATCATGTTCAGTTATTACGTGGTGTTTAGTAACGTTATGTTGGAACGGTTCTGCGATCTTTACGATGAATGAGAAATTTGAACAACGTACCTGCATCGAGTTTTACGATCATTCTGCGATCTTTACGATGAATGACAAATTTGGACAAGATGCCTGCTTCGAATTTTACAATGTTTTTGCGATCTTTACGATTTCAAGCGACGTATCAACTTTGGCATGAAGCTCCTGAACATTTCAATACTATCCTGCGCGTATATTTGTACTCCCCTACTTCTTTGATATTTTATTCTCTCTTTCTTAATCTCGTCAACTCTCTCTCTCTCTCTCTCTCTCTCTCTCTCTCTCGGCTTCTCCATTTCTTTCCTTCTAGCAGTGCCTCTTCTCTCTTGCTCCCTTGTTCACTCTGACTTTCTACTGCTTTCTTCTCTTTCCTCTCTCCTCTTTATCAGTATCTCTCCTCTTTCTTCTTCAACCCATTTCTTTTTGTCTGTTTCTTCTGCAATTTCCCTCTCTTTCTGTATTTTCCTCTTGTTCTTCTTATCCGCCCTTCTCTCTCTCTCTCCCTCCCTCTCTCTCTGTCTCTCTCTCTCTCTCTCTCTAGATATTTTCACTCTCCCTGTCTCACCTCCTTTCTCTATTTCTTATTCTCCTACTCAGTCGTTTTTCGTTCACTTTTACTACGTTTTCACTCCATTTTTCCCACCCTCACTCTCTCATTCTTGTACACGGGCACTCGTATTTTCTTTCTCTCTCTCTGTTCTCGATTTATTTCCTACTATCATTATTCCTCCCCCCAACGCTTGCATTTTCTCTTTCCGATTCTTTTCCCTCTCTCAATTTTCTTCTCTTTATTTCTTAGTATATCACTTTTACTTTTTTCTCTGTTTTCTCTATCTTTCGCTGTTTCTTCATTCCTCCCCTTTCTATCAGTGTCCCCCCTCTCTCACTCGTTCTTTTTTACTTTCAACTTCTCACTTTCTCCTCCTTTACCCCTCCTTTATCACGCAATATCTCTCTCTTCCTCTCTCCATTTTTATTTCTTCATCATGGCCTGAAGAGTGCGTTCAAGCGTCAAACAGACTGTCTGCGTTCGGTGTCGACCTCAGTGTCCTCTTTTATATTTACAAGCGCCCTATCACTGCTATTGAGCACTTTTACCAATATATAAAAAAATGCCAGTCAGTTATGTGCCATACATGATAAACGCTTAGGCGAACACTTATCTTTTGATACATGACTGACGAGGCAGATTTTTTTTTCCGCAGTAGGTTGCCATTTCTTTCTGCGTTAGACCAGTTGCCATCTACTTACCCATAGCTGGGGAGGAAGAACAGTATTCATACCTTTCCCAAGGGTATTAGCACGTAAGTGAATGTAATGGATTCAACTGGAATTTGAACTCGGCTCTACTGATTCCTCAAATCTAGCCGCTATTCATTGCTCCATCGTTTCGAATTCAGACGTTCGGATATTTGATATAAAAAAATACCTGGACGACAGAATTTCCGACATGTTATCTATTTTATCAATCTATTCATTTGTTTATTTATCATATTAATTTGGCATGAATTCCATATGCAACAAATGTTTTTTATTATGAAATTCTAATACTTTATATCTACTAATTTTGTTTATATATCTGAGACAAGTGAAAGATCCTTATTATTAACTCATAATTTAACATCTTTAAATATATATGATATTATATAATTATATTATTATTATATTTAATTATATATGATAAAGTAAAGAAAGACGTAATTTTCACTTTTGGGGGAGTCTTCTTCTTCTCCTATACGCCGTGTCCCTTCTGGACGTTGGCGATCATGACTCGCCTTATTAGTGGATGTAATAGATTCAACTGGAATGCGAACTCTGCACTCTGAATCCTCAATCTAAGCCGCTATCCATTACTCCACCGTGGCTCCTAAAAAAAAAGTGCTAAATGGATATAAATATAAAAGTCGACACTGAGGTCAACCCCGAGCGGCGACCGACCTTGAACGCAATCTTCATGCCATGTGTATTGTGTTTTGGCTAGACTATTTACATATGTAGGTCACTGGTGCATTATGGGCAGCAAAGTCTATTGTATTATACTAACGGTTATTGGATAGACGGTATGTGTTATATTTCAAATATATATATATATATATATATATATATATACATATATATATATATACAGGATAACCTGGATATAGAGACCCGGATATAAGAGAAACCCGGATATAAGAGAGATTTTCTCTGGTCCCAAATTAGAGCCTGTGTTAATGTATATAAAATAGACCAAACCTGGATATAAGAGAAACCCGGATATAAGAGACTTCTTCTCCGGTCCCGACAACTCTTATATCCGGGTTACACTGTATATATATATATATATATATATATATATATATATATATATATATATTAATGTTTTATTTAAAACGACAGCCATGGTACTACGATTAAGCTTTTTATTTAAATTTTCTTGTGTTTGAACGAACGTTATCTTTGAATTCAAATGCCCCTTAAGGAACTGTGTTCCTGATCAATCCGAATTCATAAATAATTACATCGGTCACATGACTAAATGCCTAACCAGATGCCTTACGTTACACCTACCTAACCACAGCTGTATTAGAATCCATTTAAACACAGACAAAAACTTACCAGACTCCATCTGAAACATACTAGTAGAAAACACAAACATAATAACCTCATCCAACTGTAGAAAAGATTAAAATAATGGAAGCCTTACTAATAAAAAAGAAAAAGCCAACACTTAATAATATTAACTACGAACACGGCCACAATGTGCTGTGTTGGGAAATTAAAAGATCTCTATAACATTAAAAACACACACAACGCACGCACACAATTAAACTGAATAAATAAAATCTTTGATAATGTCTAAAAGTATATCCGAAAGCGCTCGAAATTATAGAACATTTGGACAGCTTCTACATATTCTGCGTCCAATAAAGAAAACACTTGTTCGAACGCAAGAGAAATTAAATAAAAAGCTTAATCTTAGTTACTTGTCGGTCGTTTTTAATGAAACATGCAAATGAATGATTTTATATATATATATATATATATATATATATATATATATATATATATATATATATATATATATATATATATATATATATATATATATATATATATATATATATATATATATATATATATATATATATATATATATATATATATATATATATATATATATATATATATATATATATATATATATATATATATATATATATATATGGTGTAATGGTTAGGTTAAGTTTGTCTCGCTAGAACAGTTACAACTGAAAAGTGAGTTCGATCCTCACTAGATGCCCCATACTTTCGGCCTTGTGCCACATCTAAGCTATGCATGGAATATAACTATATATATGTGTGTGTGTTTTGATTCGCTATGAAAATACCCGTCAATCTTTGTTTCTGTTTAGACTCAAATTCAGTGTAGATTTCCATTTGCAGGTGTCGCCCCTCCCCACGGGGAAAAAAAAGGAATCTCGTACAGTATACGAAAGTGGGATGTGTATCGGCCGGGTAAGAAAGGGTACAGAGTGAAATTCACCGTCTACTTAAAATGCACTCCTCATCACCACCACCCTCACCAGACCCTGCAGACATTACACAGTTGCACTTTATCGAGCCAGACTCACGCCTTTATTGCTCTCGCAATGATTCATTTGCTTTCCAGAAGCCCGCCTACCTCCACCCAGCCCTACCGCTGAATCATCGGACGCGCATGCGCGCACACACACAAATACACACACGCACAAACACTCTTAGTACGCACACATGCACGTGCAAACAAGTAGAGAAAAAAAACCCAGACATACATACATACATACATAAACAATAAATGCTGTACACATCAAACATGCATATACATATATTCACATCGCAATAAACGTTGTGATCCGTGTATCCTGTTGTCATTGTGGAATAGGAAAATATTTTGTGACCTCCTCGTGCGTGCGCTGAACTCGCTTTCAGAACATTTTCTCGCTGGCTAACTAAGCACCACTGACCTAGAATTTCATCATTTGTACTCAACAAAAGGAATACATTTTATGCATATGCAATGGCCATGAATGATAACAACATAAAATATGCAGATGACGCAGTGGTGATAGCAGACTTAGAAATTAAACAAGAGAATCTTCTACAGAAGTTACAAAAAGAAATCGAGAAGAAAAACCTACGAGAGATAGAAGTCCTACTGGGATTTATTAATGACTATCACAATCTTAACAACATAAGATATGCTGATGACACAATTTTAAAAACAAAATCACTTTAACATAAAATTTAACAATAAAACTCCGAGTACTGATAGGAACAATATAAATGAACTATATATATATATATATATATATATATATATATATATATAATGATAGAAATTAAGGTGAATTTGATATAATTAAGTAATTCATCGAGTCTAGAAGAAACCTCAACAGAATGCAGAAAAGCACTGGACGGCCGTTTCGTCCTATATTTGGGACTCATCAGCAGTGCGCATCCACTACCGAGAATTAAAACCCGGACAGCTACATTGACAGGCAAACGTCATACCAACTGCACTAACGGGCCTCGGTGACAAAGAGGTGGCGAACTAGACTCGATATTGCGCCGCTCGTTCACATATTCCCTTATGGGATAGGACTGTGCCTCCGAGAGCCACCACTACCATCACCAAGCCGCTCCATCCAGAGCATTAGAAGTAGGTTCAAGCAAGAATATACAAATGATAGAAATTACGGAGGATTTGAGATAATTAAGTAATTCATCTAGTCTAGAATATATATATGGTGATAGATAGATAGATAGATAGATAGATAGATAGATAGATGTGGTCGTCGGCAAATGGGTCGTAATGCGATTTTCCGTGTAAGTCGAGATGACGAAACGCAACATTTTGTCACTCTTCTTGTTCTACACGGAAGCAGCAGCAAATCTGGGGAAGAAAGAAAAACAAATTCACGTTGGTTTTTCTTTTTTACTGGAATTCACCAACTTATAGTTTAGCAAGAAAATGCCCTTATCTTTTTCAGGGAAACTCACTATTTATACACATATATACATGTTTTAAGCGAAAGTCGAACGAACGACCGACCAACTTACGTCAAGCAACCGGCCAATGTTCGTCGCTCTTCTTTTTCAGCGTGTTTAACAATATCTAATTTCACTTCCAAGGTGATGGTTTTCCTTTACTTTGGGGCACAGCCATCAGGAAGGGTTACAGTCCGTCTGAGTGCCATAATGAAGAGCAATAGTTTTTCACAACACAACACAAACGAAAGAGAGCGAATGCACAACAATTTAATAAGGCTTTTAGTTCCCATTTATATATATAAAATTCTGTGACTTCCATTAGTCTGTCTGTCCATCATACCCTCTAAAATAACCATACATTGCTCGATCGAGGAGAAGTGCAACGTGGGTAAAATGTACATTTGGTTTTACTAATGTGCGTAGCTTAGTATAATAAACTTTCTTTCATTTTGGGAGAAAGATTAAAAGTTTTATTATGTAGCATACAAAATACTCCCGCTATTGTAAAAACAACGTAATGATTAAAATAATAAATAATTATTTAAATGGAATATTGTTGTTTGCATATCTTTTCTTTAAGTTTATATATATATACAAGAATCCCGTTTCCAGTTCGCCCTGCGTTAACGAGAAATATAAACATATCACAAAGCCAAATGCTTCAAAAAATGTTAAAATTTGGCACCAGAAAGAATTATTTAAGCATGGCCAGTTGTATGTTGCATGGTGAAGAGTAAAAAAATTTTAAGAATTTATTCTTCGCTGTTAAAATGTTAAAAATAAAAAAGAAATTTTCTTAAAACAGGAAATCCTATTGTATTAGAAATTATTAAAACTCGAAGTAGGGTTTTTATAAAAGTATTTTCCAAACAAATCAAATTCTTCGAATTTCATTGATTGGTTTTCGAAATTGAACGAAAAGTAAAGTTTATAAATCTCGCTAAAAATATTAGCGATAACTTCAGCAATACTAAATACTGTGAGCATTTCAACACGCTTCGGCGTGTTGCAAAAAACTTCTAGTAAAAGTAAAACTAAAAACACTCGAATAAAACTGAATAAAAAAAATATACAATTATCCTTGTCTATCACATTCATTAAAACGTATAAAAAGAAGGATTGCCACTGAAATATACTAAATATATATATATATATATATATATATATATATATAGACTATATATATAGACTATATATATTATATATATATAGATATATATATATAGATTATATATATATATATATATATATATATATATATATATATATATATATATATATATATACTATATATATATATATATATATATATATATATATCTAGACTATATATATATATATATATACTTATATATATATATACTATATATATATATATATATATATATATATACTTTATATATATATAGACTATATATATATATATATATATATATAAAATATATGATAGTTCCTTCTATCTTTCTCTCTCTCTCTCTCTCTCCCCCTCTTATCTTTTACTGCCTCCTGTTGTGATAGCCGTCTATAATATCCATAAATGCGGTACGATGACACAGTTCTTCAACAGGAAACGACATAGCATGACGAGACTGAACTCGGTGTGGTTCGTCTGCTCATTATGTTTGATGGAATCATCAAAGTACCTTGATCAATTGCAGTTCATAAAGAAAACTAATATTGAATGCTAAGGCTGAAAGACAAAATCATTGATGTCAAAATTTATGATATTTTAGATGGATGAATGAAATAATATTATTATTAATGATAATAATTGTTATAGGACCAAGGAAGAACAACACGAACACAAGAATAGAAATAACGAAGGCATATTACACGAAAAAATAATACAAGATATGGAAAGTGTTATTATGACTGTCAATCTGGTTTGGAGTGAACTACTATCGGCTCGACTCGATTCGGTATCTAGCCACCACCCCTCGAGTGTTGCATGTGGCACAAGGCCGAGTTTAACGTGGGTTTCCCGAGCCCGTAGGCTCGGCCAAAAAATGCCCGTAGAACCCGTATAAACTGGATCGGGTTGGTCAACTTCCCCGAACGAGACTCTGCCCTTCGGCGGAGCCTCGTCCGGGTTCCTCTCTGCTCAGAGACAGAGAGTTCGTTCGACCGTCAAGCCGAAAAGCTCGACTCGATTCGGTATCTAGCCACCCTCCCACGAGGGTTGCATGTGACACAAGGCCGAGTTTAACGTGGGTTTCCCGAGCCCGTAGGCTCGGCCAAAAAATGCCCGTAGAACCCGTATAAATGGGATCGGGTTGGTCAACCTCCCGAACGAGACTCTGCCCTTCGGCGGAGCCTCGTCCAGCTCCTCTCTGCTCAGGGCAGAGAGTTCGACCGTCAAGCCGAGAAGCTCGACTCGATTCGGTATCTAGCCACCCTCCCACGAGGGGTTGCATGTTAACAAGACCGAGTTTATCGTGGGTTTCCCAGCCCGTAGGCTCGGCCCAAATGCCCGTAGAACCCGTATAAACGAGATCGGGTGGGTCATTCTCCCCGAACGATTCTGCCCTTCTGCCCTCGTCCGGCGGAACCTCAAGTCCGGGTTCAGCCACCCCCCCACGGGGCTGCATATCACAGGTCAATCGTGGTTTCAGAGCCCGTAGGCTCAGCCAAAAATCGACCGTCGAGATGGGTAGAGTCTTTCACCCCGGAACGAGATTCTGCCCTTCGGCGGAACCTCGTCCGGGTTCCTTTCACTCAAAAGCAGAGAGTTCGACCGTCCCTCGGCTTGATTCGTCCCTCTCTTGAGAGGCGTAGTATACATAGGTGTTAGGAAGAGTTCATCCTGTAGTTATAGGTAAGGACCCATGACAATAATAATATTGATTTTTTTTCTCATAAATAATTTCATACTTTAGAATTTCGATTTTGAAATCATTGTTATTATTAGTAGTAATTGTAGTAGTATTTCGCGGTTCTGCTTTTTTTTTTTTTTTTTTATTTTCTGATGAATCATAATTCTTAAATTATTTTTTTTACCATTTCACCTCCAAGCAAGGCAATAAAGCCACTAAGACGCAAGGGGATTACTCAGTGTTTGAGAATATGAGAGGAAAAACACTACTAATAAGAGAGAACAATAAAATAACAGGAATTAGGAAGACAGAAGATAACAGTGCATTTACATTCTTGAAGATCAAATTTGATCAGGAAACAAAAAGCCGTAAGAGAGTTCCACACACGAGAAGTGCGGCAATAGAAACTTTTAGCATAGAAATTACGGTTACATCTAGCCATTGATTGACTAAGATCATTGTTAGTTCTACAAATATCAAAGACCTGTGGAAATTCCCCTAATGCATCGTTAAATATTCGAGCTTAACAACTTAAACAAAATAAGTCTGAATGCAGGTCATTATTTAAAGAAGTAAAAGGATACAAATGAAAAGATCTGAAATTGACAGAAAATATTCAAGAATAATAGCCTCATCCACATGTAAAAAAAGGTTAAAAATAATGGAAGCTCTAATAATAAAAAAAAGGGAAAAACTAACACACAATAACATTAACTATAAACATGGCCACAATATGCTAACCGTGTTCGGCTAATAATACATTCTTATAACTTTAGATACATAGAGGGTAAAAAACCCCACATATTTCGTTAAAAATAAAAAATAATAAAAATTGCCCTTGATAATGGATAAAAGAATAGCCGAAAGCGCTCGGACATGCAGAACCTTTGGACAGTTTTTACACACTTTGTGTCCAGAAAAGAAAACACCTGTACAAGCACAAAAATAATTAAAGCCCAATCGCAGTACCTTATCAGACGTCTTTAAAGAAACATGTATAAAAGAGGGATTGCTGCCTAAACACACACACACACACACATACACACATATATATATATATATATATTCTTGTGTGAACGCGTGTGTGTTTATAAAGTTTATCAAATACATTATATTGTACGGCTCCGAGACGTGACTTCTCAGAAAGATCCTCGCCTCTCACGTCCATACTTTGAGTTTCCCGCCGTCACGACCATCAAGTGAGTGCACTGGTCCGATCTTGTGTTGAAGGATCAGCCAGCCAGGCATCCTACGTATCATCACTCAGCGCCATGTTCCTTGGCTCTGTCGACGACCTGATGACCACCCTAACAGAGTCATCTACCATTTCAATCGGCCATTTGCAAACTGGAGACAACCCCGCGGCAGACCACGCAGCTGTTGGAAGGATGTCGTCCGCCAGGAACACCAGCAGATTAATTTAGCGCTGGAGGATGTCCGACGCTCTGCCAAGACTTTGAGAGCTGGAGGAACAAAGTGGCTCTCGCGGGGTCAACGACTTCACGGCATGAGATTTAGCAGCAGCAATACAATGGCCATTCAAATTACAGGGTTACTGCTACAATGGTTCTGATGAATGAGATGTGTGTTATGAATGAAAGAGGGGATGGTACAAAGTGAAGATTTTGGGGATAAGGAGGAGAAATAACGATTGACCACTGAATTCAAGAGGCTGAGACTGTACTGTCCAGGGAAGTATCCTCACAGGAGTCTCATTCACAAAGTAACTTTCCATAGGAAAAATCTCTCTGAGTGGAGGTTCCGCCTTGCATTTGTAACATGGAGGAAATGAGAATGATTCGACTCCTCGGAAGTATCCCGGTGTGCCCTAGCTGCAAATGTCTGAGCATTTGCCATGGTGATAGCGATACATCAGAAACGAGCTTGAAATGGTTCGTCTGTGGGGAAGAAGCGGCAGAGTGGAAAACGTATCCCTCCACAAGATGGCGTAAACGATTTTGACCTCTTCAAGGCTGGAAAGGAAAGATTGGGCACCTCCAGCCCTCATATGGTAGCAATACACCATTGTTTGTTTAATCCTACTTTTGCGCGATTTAGTTATTACTAGTAGGTCGGTGGGAACTAATTTTCACAGTTAATACAATCATTTTCTTTTTGGCCTCATCGTCTTGATGATTTTATAACAATTTTACCTTAAAGTTTTGACAACTATCAATGAAACGCTTAAGAATTGAGTGCCAGCTCTCAGCCTTGCTTCCCAGTAGATTAACGCTCTTCTGCTCGAGCTAAACTAGCAAATACCCAAGATCTATAAGAAAAAGCATTGCCTGATTGCGTAGAGGGCGCTGCGGCCGTTTTCCCAACAAAACACTGTGTATTCACCGGCCCAAGCGATACGATGACAAAGAAGCATTATTATCAAGCAGTACAAATAAATAGAAGATAAAGTACACATGTCTTCTGGTTGGCAGGCGTGTATTAATCATAGCACACGAAGTCCGAACGTCAACCCCCTTTTTGTGTTGGGTGCAAATAATGTATAGACACTGAGGAGTTGAGGAGGAGAACCCACCCTTAACATGTATACAGACAAAAGAAAAACCAAATTCTGCCCTTTGTATAAAATCTTCATGAATTAGCTGTTGTTCATCGGCATAATTTTCAAACACGCACGCAAACACGCGTGCGCGCGCATGTATACACACACGCGAGCGCGAACGCACACACCCAAGCATACCACTTTCCGCCCCCAAAGACGGAGAATTTGTAGCATGCAGGTGAACCCATTGTAGTCTCTACTCTTCGTGAGCAGTAACATTTGGAGGCCATAGTGCAAAGAACGAGAAAGAAACGTCTTTGAATGCAGAAGACTGAACATTCGACGTTAGAATGATTTACTGGTTAGGGTTAAATTCTCCGAATCTTTGGATCATCATCATCATCATCATCATCATCATCAGTCATTCGACTGCTTCAGTCGTCGGGGAGGACAGAGGTGTTCCTGGTCCGACAATCACTATATTCCCCAGATCTCTCCCCTTGCGACCTTTTTTTCCACAAATCCTATCAATGCAAACGGCTCTGGATAAAGTGTGTGGCTTCAGAAAGGGGACTACTTCGAAGGAGATTAAATGCAGAATTGATATATGTTGTAGTTTTATAGCACCAGTCGCGGTACTTTTGATCAGCCCTCTTGTGCCTTTCTAATTCTGAAGATGACATAACGCAATATTCTTACATAGAATTCCTCTCATGAGACCACTCGACTTTTAAACGAAGTTTGTTTGCTACATGCGTGCATATGCGTATACATATATATGCTCATGAAAAAAATTTTTCGGTTGAGCTCTCTGGGGAGAAAGTGTGAGTTTCTGACTATTACTGCTACTAATGCAATACTCAACGATAAAACGAATCGAGTTCTCTCAGTCAATGACGTGTTTATCTTAAAAAAAATATGCTTTATTTCAACTTCATCCCTGCCGTGCACCAACGGCTTAGGGGTAAATTCTACGACTAACGCCAATTCAACCGGATTTCGATCCTAGCTAGAAGCAAACGGATGCCTAGCCACACTGATGAGCTGTGATACAGCGAAACATCTATCTGTAGATGACACTATATATATATATATATATATATATATATATATATATATATATATATATGATGCTAAGTTGAAAATATTGGTACACAAGAAATATGGAAGTATAGTGGAACCGAATTTAAATAGTATTGTAAATTTGTCTTCCCATGAACTAACTGAGC